TGTCTGTAGGGGAAATTCATTCTAACATATTCCTCGAAGCTATTTATTTATTTGTTTTAAGCATGAGAACTAGAAATCATGGGGTTAGGATTTATATATTGAACGAAGCATGGGGGTAAAAACATGTATAGATAGGATTGCAATTTAATAAAAACATGTTAGAGTAGATACCATATTGGGTAGGATCTTTTCTTTTCATTGTTTGGTAATAATTATTCCTCTTGTCTTGTTTTATTTGTCTATTATTTGTATTTGCATTATTTTATCAATTTATATATTTTGTTATTGGTACTAACTTGTGTTTTTATGTTGTTTTCTTTTTGCTTGCATTGCATGATCATGACATAATCAAAAGGTGTTGATTTGAGAGTGGTCATCAAAGTACAAAGTTTTCATAATGGACAAAGGATTTCATGATCAAGTAAACTATAACACAACTAGGGAATGGCATCCTGAGGAAACTCTGAGGATAGTGGAGAGTTATACACCCAAAGATTGCATGTCCGATGAAGACCAAAATGAGATACGAGAGATGAGAGGGAAAATGTTCAAGACGATGGATAGAATATATGCTTTGACCAAAGGAAAAGAGACTTCTGCAAAAAAGGAGAAAGAGCTCTATGAAGATAATCCGACAGTGTCGGATATACAAGGGACTACTAATCTTAGCCAATCTGAGAAATCACGAGCAATCACCATTCGTATCAACAAGTTGTCTGGAAATACCAAAGAAATTGTGACAAATGTAAAAGTTCCCAAATATGAAAAGAATATATGCAATCATAACTCATTGGAATTCAAGAGTTTGCTCCTGACGTCCGAGACTCAAGTTCAATCCAAGCCAAGAAGTGGCTCTCAATTTGATTATATCCCTATATCATACAATGAGTTGTAAGAGAAGCTACTAGAGGCCCGAGATATGGCTCTGCATTATGTGAAACCTTGGCAACCACCGTATCCAAATTCGTATGATATCAATTTTCATTGTAAATATCATGCTAAAATTCAATGATATTCCATTGAGAACTGTACTACCTTCAAACATCGAGTACAACATCTTTTGGATCATGAAATCTTAGAGTTTAGGATAAAAGATCAACCTAGTTTGGTAATTGATTATCCTGTTAGACTGATACCTAAAATGTTCAAAGCTAAGGATATCAGTAGAGACATCCAGAAGGAAGAAGATTTGTTGAAGTATGAAGCTCAAATTTTTCATTTGAAGATTGAAAACGAAAAATTGAGTGCAAAGATGGAAGCCGTGCATAATAGTTTTCAAAGGATCAGTTTAGCCTTTAAAAATGCTGGTATATGAAATACCCTGGAAGAATGGACAACAGGGGTCATTAAATTAAAAAATGATGATGAGCAATGGAGAAAGAATGGTAAGATGCAGGAAGGTCTAATCAAGAAGTTCTCTAATGATTTACGGATTGCAGAAGAAAAGCGCAATACAACCGTCATCAACATGGAAATATATAAAGCTAAAAACCATACGTTGAATAAAGTTATAACAGTGTAGAAACCTTATATCAGTGCCACAAGCATGAGAATAATGCTAAACTAGATGACAGTAGGGCCAAGAACAATACATTGATGAAGATTGTAGATGATTATGAAGATATTGTACAAGGACTTCTTGGCCACAAAGATTCTCTTATAAAGGAAAATGAACAATGTTATCTACAACTCCGAGAATTAACGCAAAAGATACAAGAAAAAAATAATGTCATGAAGGAAGTTGTTACCCAAGAAAATAATATGGCTCATAAACTGGTTGATTTAGCTGGCTTTATGAGAGAATTAAATCAGATTGACAACTCAACACCTGAGTATGAGTGGAAGCTAACTTGGTTTTAAAGAGAAATAGAGAAATTAGGAGTGAAGGTTATCCCTTATATGTAAAGTTTGTTTGATGTACCAAAACCTTTTGTGTTCAATGAAAGTTGTTTTAAGATGGTCACTCTTGAATAACACATTTTGCATACATGCATCACACAGTTTGCATTCTTATTTATGCATTTTCGTATTTGCATTTTCGCATTTACATTTTTTTCATATCTATACGTCATACGTTGCATATTATAATAACATGCCTCTATCATGAAAACGTGAGAGTAATTTGTAAAGAATATTATGAAAGAAGTTCTAAAAGAAAATCAAAGTCACTCTAGGCGTGTCTCTAAAAATGATCGAAAGCAATGAAGTAAATATTAACACATGTCAATAGAATCGTGAGAATCTAGGAACAACTCGTAAAAACTCAACAGGAAATGTTTGATGAAGCAAGAAATTTCCAAGTCGAATCCAATGAACATATGTCCAAGCTAATGAGTATGATGGTTACAATGATATATGGGGAGAAAACATTAAAGGACCCTATTGTGCAAGAAAAAATGAAAACTTCGGGTGAGAATCTGAATGTTAGTGGTATAGCCAATGCAATAATAAATGACCAAGAACCTGTTGAGGAGTGTGGTAATCCAATTTAACTTAAAATTGGGTATACTTCCATAGAATGTGACAGAGATCATGCTGGAAAAACCAAAAATGGAGGGTGAAAGTTCTAACACGAAAGTTGAGTCTGAATCAAATAAGAGAAGCATGAAATAGGTTCAAGTGCCATTGAAGAAGACTAAACATCTCTATAATCAATCACAAGGTCTTCAAGATGATCATGTCAAGGAACAAATGAGGTCAAAAGAGTTTCTACCCAATTTTCCTTCATTTTCGTACAACAAGTTATATGCCAAGTTGCTCTAAGCTCAACTAATTGCTCCGCGTCTGGCTAAGCCTCTGTTGCCCCCTTATCCGAGTTGGTATAATGAGAAAGTTTCTTATGAATATCATGTCGGAGCCTGAGGACACTCCATTGAGAATTAGAACAAATTCAAACGACAAGTCCAAAATCTTTTGGTTTATGGATTTATAGAGGTGGATGATAACAATCAATATGTTTTGGTCAGATAATTGGGAGTCAACCCCAAAAATAGATTGAATAAGGTCAAAACAAGTAAAGTGCATACGAAAAAGGACGTTAAAATAGAAAAGGGAAAAATCAAAGAAAGCAAGGTATGTGAGGCAGAGATAAAAGATTCAATTCTCGATACCTCTCTGATGCTAAATGATAAAAAAGAAGGTAAATGAGAGGTAATATAAGATTGGTCGCAAAAGATGTCTTAGAAAAATAAGACCCTTAAAAATTTTCAAGTGCCTATTTCTGACTTGATATCATTTTCTATTAAAGGTCAATACCTCATACCGAGGCCAGTAAAAGTTTCACCAAACCCTTATGCATAGCTATGATCAAGATATCATCTGTGATTTCCACTTGAGGGCATCTAGGCATTCTAAGGGGAATTGTAGGCCACTGTTAAAGGAAATAGAAAAACTCATCGATAAGGGAGTCTTGACACGAGAAATGATCAAGAGATGGGGAACTAATGAGGATAAAAAACCCTAGTCTGATTACACACCCAATATTCTAGGAATAATGGGGCATTCTAGATGAACAAACGGAGGTCGTTATCTACCACTGTTGTACCTTACATTTGCAACAACTTGTTTGAATATGTATATTTCCTTTCTCAGCTTTTTATAAGGTTTATTGAACTATGTTTTGATATAACAATTTAAGGCAAAATGGATTTTGGACTTGAATTGAATTTACAAAATGTTTTTGGACTTAATTGAATTTATTCAAAGTTTTAGAAGGTTTCAAAAATAATTCAAAGTCCATTAAAATTTGAATTTGAGCAAAAATGTTATAGGGTACTGATACCCCCTGAAGGCTCAAAATTCCAGATTGCTCGGATAGTATCTATACCCCCCCATGGTATCGATACCCTCGGTATCGATATCCCCCAGGGGTATCCATACCCCCTGGCTACAACGGTCATAAAATTTGAATTTTATGAAGGGGTACCGATACCATATGAATGGGTACCGATACGCCCTGTACGGGATAGCCTTTTTGAGCAAAAAATCATCCCCAAACGGCTCTAAAATATCCACAACGGCTATATACAACATCAAACACATTACAAGCTATAAATACAAGCTAAGAACACTTGAAGAAGTATGAGAACAACTATACAAGCAATCAAACACAAGAGAAGAGTTTTTCAATCTTATTTTATCTTTCTCTTGTAAATATTTTGTTATTGTGAGCTCAATCTTGTAAACACCTACCTTTGAGAGATTTATTTGTTTACTTTTTTTATCCTTTTGTAAAGGGGAAAGGTTCTAGCTAATCCCGTGTAAAAGCTAGGGAAAGGTTCTAGTTTAGCCCGAAAAAGCTAGGGAGTTTGTAAGGTTACTCTTTATCCTCAAAAGAAAGAACAAATTAGTGAATTTGTTGGAAAATCCTTGGTGAGGAGCTAAGGTAGTGGATATAGACTTTGGTTGAGAAAGTCGAACCACTATAAATCGTTGTGCAATTTTCTATCTTTCAATCTCCTTACTCCCTAAACACAAAACCATTCCGACCCCTCTTTGCAAACCGTCCCGGTTGTCGATTCGAGCTTCCAAAAATCCCAATAATTGATATCAGAGCCTAACTCGTTAAGAAGGTTTAACCACCTTGAGACGATCCTCGAAGAAGCTCTATCAATTTCCGACGCAACCAACAAAGAAATGACTTTTTCCTCTGGTGCTTATTATCTTGAAGAATATCCTATTATGGATTCACATCCGGTCAATAAGCCACCATTCTTCAATGGAGCAAATTATATACATTGGAAAAATAAGAAGATGTACTTTATTCAATCCTACAATCTAGGAGCTTGGAACTCAATCATGGATGGTTACTCCTCTCCACCCGACAAGTACAACGATTGGAGTAGAGAAGAGCAGAAAAATTTCCAGTTTAACTATAAGGCTATACATATTCTATTATGTGCTTTAGGCCCAAATGAATATGAAATAATCTCATCTTGTTCCAGTGCCAAAGAGATTTGGGATAAGCTCCAAGTCACTCATGAAGGAACCAACGAAGTGAGGGAATCAAAGAAAAGTCTTCTCAACCATAGCTACGAGAACTTCAAGATAAAACCCGATGAAGACATAAAAGCTATGACGAATAGATTTTCTATGATTGTCAATGGTCTTAAGGGATATGGAAAAGTAATCCCTAATGAGAAGCTTGTGAGGAAGATGATCTATTCTCTTCCAAATGAGTGACAATCGAAGAAAACGGCCATTATAGAAGCAAGAAACTTAAAGTCTATCACTCTCGAAGAGCTAATTAGTTTTCTTCTCACTCATGAGATGATGGTGAAGGAAGATGAAGAAAGGGAAGAGAAGAAAAACAAGAAGAAGAAGGAGGTAGTCATTGCCTTCAAATCCACCAATGAAAGCTATCAAGATTCAAGTGATGAGGTGGATGAAGACGATGATGAACAAGAAGAAGAGATGGTCAAGCTCTTGAAGGAACTCAAGAGATTCATGATTTCCAAGGAAGTGAAACATGAATCAACCAAGAAGAAGAGTCCCCCGATATGTTTCAATTTTCAAAGAAAGAGGCATGTCAAGTATGAATGTCCTCTTCTAAAGAAAAAGGTGAAGAAGGCATTTGTTGCATCTTGGAGTGACAAAAATGATTCAAATGATGAAGATGAAGTAGTCAACCTATGCCTCATGACCACTCAAGAAGAATTCGAGGTATCTTCTAACTCAAATGAATTTAATTCATTTATTTTTGATGAGTTACAAGATGCTTATAATAGGTTGTATTTGGGATTTGAGACCATGAATTCCAAATATACGAAATTAATTTCAAAACTCAAAATTAAAGATAATTTGATTTTGAAAGCAAAAGTTGATTTTGAAAATCAAAATGAAATTTTGAAAAATAATTTAGAGCTTTCAAAAATCAAAATAAATGATTTAGAAAAAGAAAATTTTGAGTTAGGAGTTAAGCTTGAAGGCTTAACAAAAGAAAAAGAATTAATTTCTAAAAATAACCTATTATGTTTAAAAATGGCAAAATGCTCACATTTTCATTTTTATGGTCATTTGGAACATACTTGTCCTTTAAAGAAAGGAAAATATTTTAAAATTAGACAAGTATGGGTTCCTAAGGAAACAAGGGGCATTGAAACTAACGTCCAAGGATCCAAAGCAATTTGGATACCAAAATCAAAATGAATATCTCTTGTAGGTGTGTGGGAGCAATGATAATGAAGATGATGATATTCAAGATGCTCTAGCCACACATGAAAAAGGAATGGGTAACCTCTAAACTTAATGCTCTTGATTTTGGTTATTTGGTTGCTCATTTGGATTTATGCATGCATGAGTTTTGATTTTGAATGATTATGCATTGTTTTAATCTCATGTATGTTGAAAAGATGTTTTATGATGAATATTTTAAAGTTTTAAATGATTTTTCAGAATTTTTAGTTCATCATAATAAAATTTTGGTAAAAATTGGTTTTAATGCAAATGATATCTCTCTAACAATTGATATCAATTTTTCAAATACTTTGATTTTATAAATTTTAAATTTTTGACCTAAATTTGAATGCTTATGCATGTGTTTTTAAATACAAAAGATATCTCTCTAACAATTGATATCAAAATTTTCAAATGCATAACATTTTTGGAAAACTTTATGCATATGATCTTAAATTCAACAATTGGTATTGCATAAAGTATTTTAGTCTTGGATATATTGAATTTCATGTGCTACTAACATGTTTGTTATTCTTTGTTGAAATTCAATGTTGTTTAAGTGTCAAGTTCTTAAAGCTAAATTTTATTTGGAATGCATTTATTGAGGGGGAGCTTTTGATTTTCAAATAAATTTTTAAATGTCAAATTTACTACTTACTCTCCAATGTTATTTTAGAACTTTAAAGATTGAATTATTTTTGATATAACAAAAAGGGGGAGAAGTTTGGTTTGAAAAATTCAATTTCTTAATGAAAAAGTGAGAGCTTAACATTTTCATACATTTTCCAACAATTGGTAACAATTTATATCTTTTTCATTAAACATTTCATTAAGGGGGAGTTTTGCCAAAAATAATTTTTCAAATGTTTTGTTATATTAAAAAGGGGGAGATTGTTGAACTATGTTTTGATATAACAATTTAAGGCAAAATGGTTTTTGGACTTGAATTGAATTTACAAAATGTTTTTGGACTTAATTGAATTTATTCAAAGTTTTAGAAGGTTTCAAAAATAATTCAAAGTCCATTAAAATTTGAATTTGAGCAAAAATGTTATAGGGTACTGATACCCCCTTGCGATACCCCCAGAAGGCTCAAAATTCCAGATTGCTCGGATGGTATCTATACCCCCCAGGGGTATCCATACCCCCTGGCTGCAACGGTCATAAAATTTGAATTTTATGAAGGGATACCGATACCATATGAATGGGTATCGATACCCCCTGTACGGGACAACCTTTTTGAGCAGAAAAATCATCCCCAAACGGCTCCAAAACATCCCCAACGACTATATACAACATCAAACACATTCCAAGCTATAAATACAAGCTAAGGACACTTGAAGAAGTATGAGAACAACTATCCAAGCAATCAAACACAAGAGAAGAGTTTTTTAATCTTATTTTATCTTTCTCTTGTAAATATTTTGTTCTTGTGAGCTCAATCTTGTAAACACCTACCTTTGAGAGGTTTATTTGTTTATTTCTTTTATCCTCTTGTAAAGGGGAAATGTTCTAGCTAATCTCGTGTAAAAGCTAGGGAAAGGTTCTAGTTTAGCCCGGAAAAGCTAGGGAGTTTGTAAGGTTACTCTTTATCCTCAAAAGAAATAACAAATTAGTGAATTTGTTGGAAAATCCTTGGTGAGGAGCTAAGGTAGTGGACGTAGACTTTGGTTGAGAAAGTCGAACCACTATAAATCATTGTGTAATTTTCTATCTTTCAATCTCCTTACTCCCTAAACACAAAACCGTTCCGACCCCTCTTTGCAAACCGTCCCGGTTGTCGATTCAAGCTTCCGAAAATCCAAACAAGGTTATATAAATAAATTTTTGATCCTTTAAAGATGGTGAACATTGAATCAAATTTGTAATCCTGCAGTTCTTTAAATATCAAATGAATTAAAAACTCTTTAAGTGATTAGAATTATAAATCTTTGACAAAGTGAAAAGATTGAAAACTGATAAAACAAGGACCCTTGACCTTACCCAGAAGATACACTCAAGCACCATACCATTCTCTTACAAATATAACATTTTCCTTTTATAAAGAAATGAACAAGAGACTTTGTATTTAGATATGCATAGGAGCGGACAACATGAGGCATCTCTTGTGTATGACATTGCAAAACCGACTAGAATACACTTTTGTTGAGGACTTTCAATGATGATCCTAATCTTCACAAATGGAATAGTGGAGTAGATGGATTTAGTAAGATCAGTTGTTTGAGAACTGAATTCTAAATATAGGATTATCTGACCATCAACAAAGACACATAGGCTATAACAGGTTCTTCTCGATAAGCTTAAGAAATTCTAATATGAATACTCAAAAGGTTGATAGATTTATTATTATTATTATGTATTATACAATAAAGCTGAGCTATTCCACTAAAGCAATTGGTTATAGAGGAAACTCAAAAGCCTTGACTTTATGAATAAATTGTATTCAAACCATGACTTTGCTCGGGTACTCAGTAGTTCGGTGTTTGCTCTACTGTGGGTGTCAAGTCAAAGACTTTGTGATGAGATGAATCCTTCATTTAGCCCAATAAAGGCAAATTACAATAAAGCTGAATTTGGCTAGCCAAACAATAGCAAATCTAATGAGGATTTTCAGTAAGATGGACTAAGGGAATTGAGGAACACATGTTATATTTAACCTCACACAAGCACTCAGGGATTTTATATCTAGACTGAGTTATATGTACTACTTCTTCTAAAGAAGTATGTAAAACTTGAATAAATGAAAGATTTCAAAGAACCAAAATAGAAGTGTTCTAGAAAATCTAGTAATTGAATATGCTGGTTGCGTCATTTTGTCCACATCCGATTAAAATACCAAACCAAGAAAGTGGGCCATGAGGTAATGTTCACAAAGATCGAGAAAGAAATAACATCTTTGGTGACCAAAACCATAGAAAATAGGGAAAGCCAACCTGAAACTAACTCATCAATTTTGACACGTGTCAAAGAATATAACTTTGAAAACATTAAAGAGCTGTTGATTCTTTTGATATTCTTTGAACTCATGTTTATAATTTGATTCAACTGCGTGCCTGAATTAAGAAGTAACATTTTACAAAATTCTTTCATTCTTTGATTTCTAAAATAAAAGAAAGGAGAAAAAAACATTTTCAAGCAGGATAGTCTCAAATAAGAAAGGTCCTTGAAACAGGTAATGCATATTCTGCATTTATTGAAAAAAAAAGAATAAGTTATGCCAGAATGATGAAACATTCTACAATCTTGAAAGAAAGTAGTCCGAGAGATCAGAAGGGCTGGAGGATAAAACTTGTAACACTCCTTTGTGATTTTGTCAGCAACCTGTCAAGAAGAAAATGATTGCCTTATTCGAAAAAGGGCACATATCTCAGATTATATAAAAAAAATGCAAGACATTTCTATTAGAAAAATTGATTACTTCTTAAATGTTCATGGAAAAAATGAAGAGAAGCCCTTAAACTATTTGACAACACTGTTGTTTAGTGACACCAAAATGATAATATTCAAGATTAAGAGATTTGGGTAAGAAGAGAGCCACGAGTACCCACATTAGGGCATTACCAAAACCAGACCTTGCGAGGATTATAAGATTCAAATCAAATAGACATTGAGAGTAAGCCTTACAACTTGGAATGTTGGGGGTATTTTTGAAGGTCATATCATCCAGAAATGATAAATGTTGGGGCATTTTGAAGGCTTGTACCAGTATGAAATAATGTTGGGGCATTTTGAATGCTCTTATCAGTAAAGATTGGGGCATTTTGAAGGCATATATCATACAAGAATATAAGATCATTGATTTGAGAAGACATTTATCGAAACATAAGAGTGTGAATA